GAAAACATTATATTCTTAATAATACTATAGTTTACTTTGTAAAATCTCACATTTTAATTAAAATTTATTACATTGAAAAAACATGGGTTTATGAATGCCTCGAATGTGTCGCTCCTCACTTCTTTATATTGTGAATATTGATCAAAGCCTGGTGGTGACATATAAGAAAAAAGCAGGTGTTTCAGGGGGTAAAACAAAACCCAAACCACAGAAAAGCAATGCTTCAAAATTGACAGTAAATCCTCAATATTTTTGTGAACTTACCAAAAGGAATAGAGAATTAACAAATAAAATAAATTAAACTGTTTAAAAACTTTACATTACTGATCATGTACAAAAAATTACTATAAGCATAAATCAACATACGCCCTGGAAAGTTTACACTATGACTGACTGACTCGGTTAAATTTCCGCCCCTCATCACAATACTGCAAAGTTTCTTTGCGCTAAAAAACAGTGAAACTGCAACGCCAAATGCAAATTTGTTCACGAAGTGTGTAATACCCTTTGTACTCTTTATGACTTATAAAAGCAGCAAGTCCTAATACAATCCCAAACCGGATCCTTAAGCAGTTTGGTCATAGCCATGCTGAACCTTCATTCAAAAATCACCACCATTTTTAAGAAATCACTTCCCCTCTAATGCTGTTCCAAAAATTTGGAAGGAAGCTATATCCTTTACCCCTTGCCTGTCTGAAGTGTTGAGGACTTTGTAAGCACTACGTAATTAGCTAATTACTTCGCTGTTTGAACCAAAACTTGAATGTTACACTGGTGATCCTGTAGTTTTAAATGAAAGTAAGGGGGCAAAATTCCACAAGGCATGTCCAGTTTCATATCCACTACAAAAAAGAGTTGAAAGCTCTCTATTAAAAATGAAAAAAGATAATGTCATTTAAAGAGTTTCCTCTGCTGTAAATGTGGCCCCTATAAATTACAGTTGGAAAAAAAGGCTGGGGATGAAGTTTGTGTTTGTGGTGATTTAAATGTCACTTATAGTTCATGTGCTGAAGTTGAGACTTACCCTGTGTCTAAAATAGAAGACAATGCATTCTGCATTGCAGGGTTGCCAAGTATTTAGTGTATTAAATAGACCTGAAGCAAGCTTATCATCAAATTCCTATTTCAACTGAGTCTCAGAAATTATCTTACTATCAATACCAACCTGGGCTTTTCACTATATTGGTGCTGCTGAATAACTTGCTTAAGAAAAATGTACCTTGGAGGTGGAGCCACAGTTGATAAAATATACATGGTTTAGAGACTACATAGAATTACAATAGAACTCATTAACTATGTCGGAGAACATTTATGCAAAAAATTGTTCTTATTCGTCACGTGTCCATTGTATTTTAAACAAATAAACCAATAATAAGGTCGGAATTGACATGTTGTTCAAGTCACGGTCGAGGAGCTAAGCCAAGCCATTGCTATTGGTTAGTTGGGCAAAAATACAATAGACATGTGACGGATAAGGAACCATTTTTTGCATAAATCTGGACAATAACATAGGTAATGAGTTGTATTGTACCATCTAGTCTCCAAACCATGTATATTCTAATAATTGTGGTGGACCAAAACAGAAGATACAGCTTTTAAAGCAGCTGAAAATATTTTACTTAACTCAAGAACACTAGTACATTATGATGAATCCCTGCCTCTGGTTTTGTCATGTGATGCTTCTTATGGTGCAGGAGCTGTATTGTCACATGTCATTGACGGAAAACACTGGCTGATAGCATTTGCATCATGCTGAAGTCCAGAAAAACTAATCACAGCTTAAGAAAGAAGCGTTCAGCATAATATTGGACTTAAATGATTTCATCAATATCTTTGCGGTAATTCATTTACAATCTCTGACCATCGTCCCCTTCTTATGTTATTAGGACCGCATTGTTTTGCTCCAGAGGAGGTTGGACAGCAGGCCGCAAAGCATGATGGGTATTGAGCGCTCAATTATGCGAACGCTTCATTTGACGTTTTGACTGTCGTGATGTGAAGAGCTCTGCGAGTATAGGAAAAATGGATGCTTTCGAAAGACAGGATTTTCAAGCTGCGATTATTTTTAAGTATTTTAGTATTTTTCAAGTGCAAAATACTATGATGTATATGTATTGTTGCAATCCGCATTACAACTCATCTTTTATTGTACCGAGTTTACCGTTTTTTAAGCTGCATGGGCTTTGCTGCCATTCGCATTTCATAACACTCCGTCTGAAAGAAGACTTTGTATTATAGCAAACACCGAAGCACCGCTTTCAAAGTTGAATGGCCTTAAATCTCCTTGTGTCATCAACGTTAAAGCAAGTACTATATTTGAGGTTAGTATAAAGTACTTGTCAACACCTCATTTTTTAATATTTTTTATTAACTTTTAAGGCTTGATTTGTGTATTAAAATTTAACTGAAACTTTTTTTTAGTTTGGATGAATTTATTCATTGTAAAGCGGAGAGAATGCTTTTAATTTGGGATTTTGATGTGGATCGTGTATTGACAGAAAATACGAGCGCTGTGGATGCGGTTACTCCTGATTTTGATGACATCGAAGAAACTCTGTTGCTTAATATCAACGCAGTAAGTTGCAATTGTTCAAACTTTTATCCCACTCAGAAAGTACTTCTACCTCCTTTAGATAACACATCTGAATCAGGGAGCTCTCAAGCCTCTCAAGAACCAAGTGAAAGTAACGAAAACGATTTTGGTCATGAAAGAACAGAAAATAGAGACATTGATGATCATTATTGGTTCTCTGATGAATCTGAAGGTATAGTTACTGTATAAAGTTTTGATAGTTCATTTCTGTTTACGAATGTTTTCTTTACACATGCTTTGTTAATGGTTTCATGCTTAAAGTAAAAATTAATCTCAGAGTCGTTCAATTTTATTTTTAGAAATTACTAGTGAGTTTTTATTTATAGACATTACAGTATTAGACGGGCATTTTTTTGTTTTGCTTTATAGAAAGAGATCTACTTGAGCATTTGGCTGAACTAGAAAATGCTGGAGAGGAGAATGGGGATGAACAAAGTAAAAGAAATGAAACTGTCAATGAGCAAATTAGTAATGAGGACAGTGAAGAAGATGAAAGTGAAGAAGTTGAAAGTGATGAGGAAGAAATCACTCATGCTCTACCATTCAAGTGCATTGGAGCTGCTCATGAACAAAGTTACCAACATCATCTGGAACAGGCATATCTTGCCCTTGAATATAATGAATCAGTAAATGTTAGACTAAGACCAGAGCCGGAAAATCCTCGGGACCAAAATGCAATTGCTATTGATCTTCATTATGGAACTCAATGGGAAAATGTTGGATATATAGCTTCTGAACATTGCAAGTATTTACATCCACTGATTGCAGCAGGAGATATACTAGACGTCTATGTTGAACACATCAAGTTTCGGGTTAACTTTTTAAAAATGGGATTTTATCCAAAAATCTGGATAAAGAGGCATGGTGAATAGGAAGGTCAGATTGTAAGGGCTAGTATGAGTGTACGTTGACATATAATTTCACAAGAACCAGGGTTTGCAAGTTGTGAATTTCTGCAATTATTTCCATTGGCTAACCTATGTAGATTTTTCCAGCATTTTTGCCATCAACTTGTTTTTAGTCTGGTTTCCATATGACAATCAAGTTGTTGCATAATAACTAATAATGATAGATATTTTTTTTAATGGTTAACACAACACCCTGGCAATGTTGTATGGAAACCAGGCTTTCTATTTTATATCCTCAAAACCTATTGTCTATAACCAAAGCACTTCACTGTCATGTGATATTTCATACAAACCCTTGCAGTATTAAGAAAATTAGAAAAATATTCATACAATACATGGTATAAATATGTAAATCTGTATTTATTGATGGAACAAATAAATAAACTCATCAAATTTTTTGATGGTTATAAAATATTGTAAGTAAAATTGCCTTGACAAAACAGCCAAGATTTTGCATTTATACATATATTTACATGATGTTCAAAAAAGTAAAAACCTGCATACACACACCATTGTTTTTTGTTTCTATGCTATTGTTTCTATGCTAATAGCATTTACCATTCATGCAAACTTGAAGATCAATTGTACTACAGGGTGTCCCAAAAAAAACGAAAACTATTGAAATCACCCAAAACAATGCAATTGTTAGAGTTTGAATTCCTAAGAATTCTGTTGGGACCCACAGGTGTATAAATGTTTACCATACTCATTTTTATGCATGCATATGATGCAGTAAAATTTGCTTGTTTGCAAAAATGATATTTATTAACAACATTTACAATTTACAAATATGGATGACAATATTTAAATGCGGATCTCAAGGACCATGACCTTCGACATGTCCCCTTTCTCTAGCAACACAAAGCATTTAGCATTTTGTAAGTTGCATTAAATCCCCTCGGGCTGAAATTCGTGAACACGGCATTCAAATTTTAACAATGAGTGATTTCAATAGTTTTCGTTTTTTTTGGGACACCCTGTAGATAAGGTGTTCATGCCTTTAGCTTCTCAATCAACCTAATATACATAAATATTGCCAGTTCTAACACACAATGGCTTAGTAATGCAGATCTTAACTCACACTAACTGTAAACATCAACAAGCATCTAAAGAACAGAACCAATATAAAATGTCAGTTTATTTTACTGAAGAAGTGAAAACATATAATCACACAATATGTTTCATATTTATCAATTTTGTGAAGGTGGTGGTGGTGGTAAGCCTTCTGATTGTTTGAAATGTGCTGATCTAACACTCAATTGACCACGTTGTGGATTACAGCTCTGTTGGCAACAAATACTCCAGGGTCAGCTCGCCTTGAAATACAGACACGATCTAGACGTTCTTCCCCACTACTAGAGGGTATGTTAAAAGATTGCAAGCATCCATCATTGTATCTATCATTGGATCCAGTGTAATAGTAAAATGGCAGATCAGGATCACACTTCTTTGTATATTCACTGATAACTTTTGGAAAAGCATCATGAAAATCCTTCTCATCAAAATCGGTCCCAGTAATCCATGTAAAAAGCAAAGATGCCTTCAACATCATCTGTTGATCCTGCCCGTGGGTGTTCAGGAGGAAGCCCTTTTTCAATACCATATCGACGTTCAAACTCCTACAAAAAAACAGTGATGATTAAAATTGCTAGGTTCCAAGATCGAAAAGCATCACCATAACAAAAACAAACAAACCTGACTCTCAATATTTGTTGTTAATGCAACCACAACTTCTCTGGTGAATCCACTAACTCCTCTGATCGGTCTAAAAGTTATAAACACATACATTAAATATGTCCATACAATATGATCTGACATATGTACTGTACCTGTTAACATCCATTGTAGAGTAGTCCCTTAAATCCTTGTACCATGGCATCCAGTCTTCTAGCAGATAATCCAGCATGGCCAGGTTGTTTTTTGAACGTTCTGTTTCCGTTAGACCACGACCATCACTTGCCTTATGCCAGTTTGACACAATCTCTACAAATCTACCTTCACTCAAAAAACCGTTAGCTTTCAGCCACTTAGCTACAGCAGGTGACAGCAATTTTTCAGCATCACCTACACTTTGCTTCCTCTTACCTGTTAATGTAGTATATGTCAAACCTGTATTGGGGTCATTCATTGCTTTCACAAATGCTTGGAGATCCACATTTGGGATGTGTCCTTTTCTTAAACTTCCAGCAATCCTCTTGCAATCATCATGGTTGTGATCTTCACGTTCATGTTGAGGTTCCCCTGTTTTTTCACTTACCTCGGGCACATACAAATGATTGCAGAAGTTAATACCTTGCTCACAGTACATACTAACCTTCTTCTTGTATAGGTACATTGCCATTAAGGATTTAAGGCTATCAGATTTGAATTCAGTTTTACCTTTAACAGAAATAACAAAGTTTGTGAACCTAACATTGCACCTACAACCCAAGGGTGAGGATCATAAAAGAATGGAAACTGTTTCCTGCGAGGAATGCTGATAGCATGGGTAAATGAAACCTTTTGTTCACCATTTGTGTATTCAGCCAACCACTGAACATCTTCCAATGGGACAGCCTCATGACCCTTTACTGGTAATATTACTCCTTCTGGTATGTATAAAATACATGGAAGAAAAGAACAAATTAACATGGTAGTAATACATGTAGGCTAGAGTTAACATTTCATAGACAACATGCATTAATTAGTATGTACTTAGTACACAACCTTTTTTCACAGACTTGAAGTACTTTTCAATCTCCTTGGAAGGTATTGCCTTTGCTTCATTCTTGGCATCCATAATCAGCTGAATGACTGAAACAGGTCTATCTTTTCCTTGTGTTCTCAACGAGTTGAATTCACTATCAGTAACAAAACCTTCAAAATATAAACAAGTACATATTAACGTAAATCAAACAATCCATTATTTAAATGAAATGGAAAATTATTCCTCAAAAATTTAATTCAACCTGTGCAAAAAACTATATAAAAAACTATTTACATAAATGCTGCTCAACATACCCACAGTTGTCATGCCAATATCCTCCATAGCAGTTTTTAACTCTTCTTTAAGGTCTCTGTCATTCTTGTCAGTAAGGCTGGTGTACTTAAGAACACGAACAGAAATAGCATATGGTTTGAAATTTCTCAATTTGTCACTTACCATGAATATCAGTATGTGAGATGCCGCTACTCATGTCTTTGAAGTAATTCCTTAACATCAAATATAACTATATCTGAATGGTAACTAAAGCCAATGAACTCGTTTTTATGAAACTTTCCAACTGACAACAACAGTATAGTCACATAAACATACTGGTACATTCTAAATCAACAAAAAGCTGCATGTGCACACTGATAATACCTTTAACATATTCCTGTAATTCTTCACGCATACTGGTCAAAGTTGCTCCCATGTTCAATGAATGATTGTCACCACTGTCTATAATGCTGATGATGTTTTTTAGTGACTGAAAGATGGACACATTTTTCTCAAATAACTTACTATATTCCTCTACTTTCCATGCACATGCAAACAATGCTTTCTCTGTAGTGTTGGCTATCTCCAATATTTTCTTGTACTCCTTTTTAGCATCTTCATGACCTGAGCTTAGGAACTCCTTCTCTGTGGATAGTTTAGAACACATCTCTTCAAGGTCTTTTTTTATGTCATCAGGTGAAGTCCTTTTGTTTAATCCAATATTGCGGACAAACTCAAGGTATTTTATATACTTAGAATGCTTAAGTTTTAACTCACCATCTCCAAGATCAAAGTCACCTGACCATTCATTCCTCATGGATTCCCTGAGTCCTTCTTGGATATCAGTGCCATCAGCTTTTAACCACCACCTTCCCCCAGGATGGGCTTCTTGAAGAAACTTCAATGCAGATGCCTGTGAAATTTCAAAATTAGTTAATTTTACATTTACAATTTACAAGTATATCTAATTTATATACAGTAAAATTCATCCGCACAATATATCATTATGCACCTGAATGTCAGTGCCTTTGCTAAAGTCGCAATCCTTGTTCATCCTTCGAATTGTCCTTGCAGCAGGTCCAGCTATATTGATCTTGGCCTACAAATACAATATATAAAAATATTACAAAACTGTCTTAGTCACTGTAACTAACTCATTGTTCATACTTTTATGTTACCATAAGATAATCAAAATCAAAGTTGTCATTACCTCTAGTGGATCACCTTTTATGGTTCTACCAGACTTAGGTACATCAGTTGTATCTTTTACTTTCTCCAGTGCTGATAATGGGTTTTCCATACTTACCATTGGTGATTGTGTGTCGGCCATGCTTGGCTAATAATATCTAAACTTAATGAAGAATCATTAGTAACAGGTACATGCTCTCTCCCAATCTCATAGGACCACATTGGTGCATTGATGCCCACTTGTTTCCAAACAAGGTATACATTGACTGGCACGAGGATTTATAGTCATCGGAAGCTTGAAGATTAGAAACATTGTCTGATCCCAAAAATTTCAAATCGTGTGCAATTAAACCAAATGGCATTCTATCCAATGGCATCCTTGAGCCTTCACCTCCCTTGCCAATCTCTCCAAAGCAACGAGCAGCATAGTAAATAAGATTGTCTTTCTTCTCTGCAGCACTGACGAAAGCACTGACATTGCCTTGGCCACAAGCCCTAAAAAGTTATGAGGCAGAAATTTAGCATCAAAAACAACTCCCTTATTAATGTCATTTACCGTCCACAATCGAAATAGGTAATTGAGTAGTTGTTCCCGTTGACGACATGACAGCCTCATAAAGCCAGATGAGATCACATCAAGAATACAACCTGGAAGTTTAGTAGCATCATTATCACGTAAGGAAGAGAAACCTAGCAATGGAGATCTTGCAGATGCATATGTAGTTCCAGAGATACCAAGGGGAGTAGATGGGGTCTTTTGGTCAGCATGATTGGAATCCTTTTCACCAAAATAGCAAATTCCATAAGCTTCTTCAGCATCAGCAATTGTTTTGAACTTTTCCTTCAAGAATCGCCGTACAACACTTTTACATGCAAGTCCTTATAATTGCAAAAAGGGATAGGGATATCATTGCAATACATTAAATAATGTCTCTTACTATTCATATGTATGAAAAATTAGGAACAAACAAATGACAAAGTGGCAGTGATTTCCTGGACAACTAATTTAAAGGAGGTAAATAGTCTAAAATGGTCCTTTACCAGTTCGCTCCTTGCCAATGTTAACACAGTTGACACCATTACCACATTCCCCCCAAAATTCGTCATCCTTAAAAAGTGGCCATTCACAAGTGGAATCTTCATCAGGAGAATAGTAAAGGGCAATATACTCAACCAATGCTGACAATTCTTCTTCACTCCATGTTGTATTAATCTATGTAGTATTAGCAAAGGTCCATACATAAATAGCTTGTGTCAATAGACTTTCATATTTACAATCCAAAAGAGTCCTACATTATTATGCGAGTAAAGATATTTCCAGCTGTTACCTTTGTATTTTTTTCCTCTGCCCTGTTCTCTAATTCATCTGTAGCTGATTGAAACAGGGATCTCTTCAAAAACTTTCCAGATGTAGATCTTAGTTTTGGTTGCCTTTTTCCAGGGGTTTGCCCAGTTGGAGGATCGTGTACCCTTTTTTGGGCCTCAGCCATACTGACCTACACAAAAGAGAAAAATAGTCTATTGAACCCCGAAATTACGCTATGTGCAGTTACCGAAACGCTAGGCGTTAGCGAATGAGCATAGGAGTAGTCACTGCCAAAAATGGAAATCTATATAAAATACAAACTAAGGATCCAAGGATAGTGCAAAGTTTTAGCTATAATGCAAATGCTGTTATAGTTGTGATTGTCGACCCATATAAGAGTGGCCTATAAACGGGTTATATATTTATATTTCATGCATACACACAATAGAAAAAATGCTTCAAGCCCACAAATGTTGCTATGCTGCAAGAAGGAAGGGGATTAGAAACTCACAGAGTGAAACTCAATAAGTCTAATAGACCCGAAAATATCACTCAACCGACTATATAAACAAATATATACATATATTAGCCGTTTTAAGTATAATAAAACGCTTTTTCGTGAGTCTAGGTAATTGTCGAGAGTCAAGAGTATAAAGTCGAGAGTATAAAGTCAAGAGTCGAAAGTATCAGGTCGAGAGTCCTAAAAATCCCAATTTTCGCACACAAGGGGTATTTCTACTTATATATTACGTTTATTTTTACTAATATTACACTCCAGTTTACTTGTGAATTGACGCTTCATGTTTCAACTTCCGAGGTAAAATATTATTATGATGCGTATTATATTATCAATATATTTCATCTATTATCGAGAAAACAAAAGCTACGGCAAGGTGTGCGTCTAGCTCAATTTTTACGTACATCATTATTTTGCGAGTTGTGCTTTTGAGGAATATAGCTCAAACAAACAACCCGTTCTCGCCTGAACTGAAGTATTAAATAAATGATGTAAACATTTTATAATAAAATATTTCTGAGAAGAATCCCACAAGATACTTTCAAATTGCACTATACTGTATAAACCTTAAAGTAAATAAACCTTGCATGATTTACATAACCGATGTGTGAATCGATCACTTGTCCTGACAGCACGAAAATATAACCAAACATACTCAAATTACATTAGTATAGTCGCGATATTATATATGGATATCAACCATAACAATATAATTAGCCTTGAATGCCTACTGTGTGGATCCACAGTTTTCATTTTGAAGCATTTTTTATGACAGTAAAATTGGTTTGTGCATAGGCGTACGGGACTTTTAAAATGTGGTCGCGCAGACGAAACATGGTCTAACGTAATTAATGTATTAGTTACTTTGCCCTTCTTTTGGACTGATTGGACGCCTGTATATATTCAAAACCGATCCGTCTATTTACATAACCATATGCGCGCAATCGCACTATAGCTTACCTAAATAAAATACAAAGCACTAAATAAATATAGCTCTATGAAGTTGTGCTGTAAGAAAACGAACTAAATAATATTAGCACTTAATTGTCAACATTTTAGCGTGAATTAACTGCAATACGTAAAATACAAAACAATCCTATGCTTCATGAAGTTTGTGTTGTCTAGCACTCTATTCAATGAAGTATACGATCTAAATAAATCGCGCAGTGTAATATTCGATGCGTGTGTTTATAACACGATGCGCGCATCAATGGATCAGTTCAAATATAGTGTTTATTACGTGTAGTAATAGTGCATGTCGTGTAGCACCTTAGCATACCATTTAACCTGATAATACTGATCGGCACTTGCTAGTAATATCGCCATTTGCTTCAGATTTGTACATTTTAAACAGAACTGTCTCGCTTCATTGTTTCTCTATAAGAAATAGTAATTATTAAGCACTGTTATGGTTAAAAAATTTTTAACCTCCATAGTCGATTATACAGCAGTATCAATTGCTATCAACACATGTTAGATTCGTGAAGTACATTATCAAAATAAGTCATGTATATTATGTTATGCGTGTAGTTAAAATACGATAGTGGATGTGGACGTATTCTTTCTTGGTTCTGCGTTTAATGAGTTCACAAATTCTCGAACATTTGCTCGCTTTTCGCTTAAAATATTTCAAAACAACACTTCGTCGCTCCATCGCTCCTTATTGTATTTTGCGCTTCTGAATATTAATCGCGGCCTTATGCGCATTAATGCGCTGTTCAAGATGAAATCGCGTGTACCGGGGGGAACAACACACATATCATCGTAACGAATGTTATAAAATTTACAATAACCACAGTAATTCTTTCATATTTTGTTTAAATTGGAAAATGCTAAAAGAATATACAAATCAGAAAACTATATGCTTGATCAAACAAACTTCCTGATACCCACCCACATAGGATCAAAGACAACAAACAAAAAACACTCCGCCCCCCGGAGTTTACACTATGACTGACTGACTGACTGTCTGATGTGAATTTTCGCCACTCACCACAATACTGCAAAGTTTCACAGAAACTTTGCACTAAAAAATACTATTTTCCCGTCTAAATGTTAATAACTAAGGAAGTTAAACCATGAATACAAATAAAATTTACATTAATATTACAAATTATGTAGTTGAACAATATTTGAAAGGGAAATATCCCATTGACCTGAAATGCGCTATTTTGAACATCTCAAAACAAGAGTGGTAAATTCAAAGCCCGATATCTCGGAAATGGTGTGGGGTTCGCAATGGGTCGATCCAGCCGATTTTTTTTTTACATACTAAACTTCATTCTTACAAAGAATCTCAAAAATCGAACTGCAGGAATTCGAGATTTTTAACTTTGAAAATTGTGAACAGACAAGCACATGACTCATCACTTCGGAACGACCCGACCAACTTCAGTTATAAAAATCGACTTAAAAAGTAACGCTTACCTCGATAATCTCGACAGATATCGCCAGTCCAATGAATCTTTTTTCAAAAAATATGCGTTTTAATCAGTAAACTTTAAAAAATATACTCAATATTTTTATGTTTCTCCGTCTTATGTATATTTTCTCACTCAAAATCTTCGCAAGCACGCTTGGAAAATAGCGCAATCTCATTGGTCGAGAAATTCATGTGACAGCTGTCCAACCTCCTCATGTTTTGCTCCGACTCGCACAGCTTCACAACTGCAAAGATGGGCCCTTATCCTAGCTTTGTACCATTACAACATTGAATACCGATTCTTTCCCTTGTGTACAAATACATGCAATGTGAATGACTTTCTGTAGTTGATACTAATATGGTCCCATACAAGAACAGATGTGATCAACTATTCATCAAGAATGTATTCTCTGGGGAGCTCGGGTGATTGTCCCAACGTCACTATGAAGTGCAATGCTTACTGAATTACATGATACCCATCCGGGTATTACAAGAATGAAAGGGCTTGCAAAATCTTATGTCTGATGGCCCACAATTGATTCTGACCATGAACAGACTGTGTCCACTTTGTCCTGTTCGCCAAAAAATGCAATCAAAACCAGGGAAAGCTCCAGTGCACCCTTGGACCGTCGATTTTGCTGGGCCCATTGCTGGAAAAATGTTTTCGGTAGTAGTTGATACAAACTTCTGAGCATACACAAACCTTCCACGAATGGCCAGGCTGAACAAGTGGTTCAAATTTTGAAATCTGCAATTGAGAAAAGCTTGCATTACCAAACAAGATGTGAATCTGGTTATCGCTAAGAGCCATTCTTTACATACAAGACAACAAATTAGGATCACCTTCAACATTTTTAAAAATCTAATAAGCTGTTCACTCAATGTTTGGTAGAGGAA